AGATAGATAGATAGATAGATAGATAGATAGATAGATAGATAGATAGACAGACAGACAGACAGACAGACAGAGATTGACTGACTGACAAAAACTGGAGGCAGAGGGGCCTGCCCATTAATATAACTTATTATCATAATTATGTTTCTTTGTACCATCTTAAAATAAAGTAAGTTAAAAAACTGGGTTTGAAGCAACCAGATACCTGATTCACATCTTGGCGTTTCCACATCTCCAGCTTCCATTCTGTAAGTGAGGAAAAAAGAATGATAATTTATGAGGGGAAAAGATAACTCTTTTGATACTTAGCAGTTATAAGCTTATTCTTCTGATAGCTTTTCTTTATATTAAAATATATTTGTGCTCAAGTGGCAGAATATAGTATTAAGAAATTTACTCACGGGTACACAAATCACTTTAATCTGAATCTGAAGAATCACAAAGGAAAAGCTACACATCAGAATATCCAAGACCTTCTCTTGGATGGACAGCTATATGTTGATAAATCACTGATTAGGGTCAGCTTTATGTATAGGTAATCTACTTCAAGTGAGATGGGCAGCCACATAAATTTACTAAATAAAATACAGTAAACCAGAAAATGATTCCAGAAACAGTTAAGGCAGAGAGCTGCAGCACATTCTAAAATCATGCATTTTTCTTTAACCAATCTGGCCATAGTTCTGTGGCTCATTGTCCAAATCCAGATTATTAGTTAACTACCATTAAACAGCCAATGATCTTTCTAGCAAAGATTACTTTTTCCCCACCCCAGAAATAGTAGATAAAATTCTATTAGAACTATATGCCTGTTATGTTCATTTTTATTATTTTATTAGTTCCAAAAACACTACCAGCATTACAAATATGACCTGAATACTTGGTTGGACATGAGATGACCAGTTCTGTTAATGTGTTCAGCATCCATGTGTAATTTCTTACATTTGGTTAATGTTAGGTTCATCTTAGCACTTCATTTAATGTGTTCTTTTAAGTGGTGGAGGATATGCCTATTTTTATCTTGGATTATTACACTATGCAGTTAATTTTAAGCTTAATTATCCCTCACATTTCCAATATAGGAAAATCAGCCTTGGAAACAAGAATGATTCATACTCACAGAGAGTATGATGTTAAACAATATGAGCAAAGTGAAGATTAAATGTGGGAAGCAGGACACCTGGGCAAACAAGAAGAATGCTGATGATTTCAGGTATCATGAAGAAAAATTAAAGTCATCTAAAAATCTGCTAATTTACAATTAATTTAAATGCATTAATCTATTTAATTAGGTTTGATTAAAGATGACAGGGGAACAAACTAGCCCTGTTTAAAACTACATCCGGCTCATAAAATCAGGCCCACAAATCAAAAGTTTCAAGTAAAATTTATTTTCTGCAAAGGAGGATTTGCATTATGAATATGAAAAACGGTGGCTCAAATGTTATTGAGCATTGTGAGAATCCACATAAATATAATGGTTTGTAGTAAAAGTTTACTCCCCATTCATTTAATGAGGATTTTATCAATGTAACAGCAGCAGCAGCTAATAACACAAAAAACTGTCCTTTTGTCTGTATAAAAAAGGTATTACACAAATAATTGCACAATAATTGCACAAATAATTACCTTTTAAAAATGTGTCTTCATATTGCTGTGAGGTAACTATCTGAGGATATTTTATTCCTGCTCCCCAAGCAATTAGGGGTGTTAATGTTTCTGATGGATGACTTGCTCCATGAGTCCCTAAACACATACAGAAAATAAGCCAACATTATATTATCGTTATTATTATTATTTTTAAAGCTGGCTTTTGAATACCATTTCCCTACTCTGCTCATCTAGAGGGCAGTCTGCAGCTTCAATACCATTCAAATTATTTCTTCATGCAACTTTCCCTTTTGCTTCACAGTTTACCCACAACTGCCATTAGGCTTCTGAAGGATTGCCCCAATCTGGATTTTCAATTATATATTCATATAGCATTTCTCTGTATCTACTACTACCAACCAACAACCTAAAACTAAGGTTTACTCAAATTCCTACAGATGCCTCAGGCACTTCATTTCTTTATATAATAGTAAAAGTTTAGTCAACTCTTCTACCGTGTTTCTCACAAAATAAGGCCGGGCCTTATTTTTTTTTTGAGCCCCGAAAAAACGGCTAGGCCGTCTTTTTGGGGTTGACTTAATTCTCCCCCTTGCATACTCGGGCGGGTGGGCAGAGACGGCTTGGATGTTGACCTCAGCATTAGTGGGGCACTTCGTATCGGGAGATCTTCCGCCACTGTTGCTTTCCCTTCTCCCTGTGCTGCCGTGGCGTTTGGAGCAACGCTGCGGCATTTGGTGCAGCCACGCGGGGCCAACCAGGGCTCCTCCCTGCAACCAGAGCCTGGTGGAGACACTCGGCTTCAGGCACTCCTGTCACTGCCTTCCCGGGCATCGTTCAAAGGCAAAGCCCATTCTTTTAAAAATAACATCCTACTACTGGTACGACAAAACCTCCCCTGCCCAAGAGGGCAGCCGAACCCCACGTGGGGAGGCAAATCTCCCGGGGCCGCAGTGCAGGATCGGCCCACCCCGGGAGAAGTGCCCAGCTGCCATCCGTGCCTGGCGCTAGGCAGAGTGCGAAGAGCTTTGACGGGGGTGCCCAGCGCAGCTGACAGGCAGGCCCTCCTGCCCGGCGGCGGAGCTCTGGACAAGGCAGCAAGCGCCTCCCCGCCAAGCCCTCCGCTCATCCCCCCAGGGCTGCGCCAGAGCTGGGTGGGCTGGGCAGAGCTGGGAAAGCAAGCTGCAGGTGCGCGCCCACCTGCCAAGCTCAGGCATGATATTCCCCTCTGAAAAAAAAATCGGGGCCGGCCAAAAGAGACCCCCCCC